CCCTGACATAAGGACGAGCTGATTGGCTTCCTATCTATCAACATTTTGTTTTTATTTGTTTCTTTCTTTTTTATTGCGAGATGTGTTTGGCAGGGGGGGACGGAAGACTTGTATTTCTGTAACTTCCATATATATTTTATTTTTTGTGTGCATTTTAGTTTGTATCTTTTTATATTTCTGTGTACGATTTCTTTAAGTTGGCCCACAATCGAACGGCGGTCGACCTAACGCCTCTTCTTGTATCGCCTTTCTTTCTTTCTTTCCAAGCTCGCGAGCTAACACTGCCATGAGCTTGCCCTGCGCGTTGTCTGGCTGTATGTGTTACTGTTTCTTTTTTTTTGCGACACACATACATAGTTTCCACGCTGCGGCTGTCGAAAGCGCGACCCGCGCCGTATGCATATTCAATAAGCAGGCAATGAGAGACAGGTACTATTGAAAACGAGTTGACCATATCTCTGTTTGTTTTTTCTTTTTGTTTTACTTTCACGTCCGAGTGAGAGAAAAGCTCATACGAGAGGCCGTTTTCCTCATTTCATATACAAGTTAATGCATCAACGTGTCTGACAAATAATCGTGCTTTGCGCTCTCCCCGCGCGCGCCTGCTCTGCTCGCCCTCCCTGCTCCGGTGCGTCCGAGAGTGCGTCCGTCTGGCGCTGTGCTGCAACCTCTGCAAAGCCGGCCTCCTATACCTCCTGCTCCAGAGGAGCAGAGCATCATTGCGCGCGTTGCTGCTCATTTAATTGTGGCCTAATAAAGCAATAAAAGGTGAAAACGAAGCACCCGAAGCCCCTTGCTGCTCGCTGCTCGCTCGCCCCCCTGTCCGGCCGCTCGCCGTGCAGCAGAGCCCCAGGGACAGCCGCGTGTCAGTCGCAGGAGGCCTCCCCTGAACTACTAAGCCGCTCGTAAACTGGAGGCACGTATTAATAAGGCCGACTCCGTGACACGTCTGACTAATGCCCGTCCCGGGGCCGGACCCCCGAAAGCACAATGGACCGCGAGGAGTACACCGTCAAACTTATTTGCGTACCCCATTTGATTTATTCGATATACCTTTTACGGCTGGCCCTTTCCGAAGACTATCGCGCGTCTCCAAGTCGTCAGGCAGTAATCCCCCTCGGCCCCGACTACGGAGAGTATGTTTTGAACGTTTCCGTTATGTTTCGTTGTCATTCGGGTCGTCCCCCACAGGCGCTCGTATATCATGCACGCACAAACCGCAGACGAAAAATCTCGCTCTTTATCCCCCGTCCCAGCGGAGCGAGTATATGTGTTTACCTTCACATCGTAAACATGGGCTATGTTTGTGTGGTCAATGCGTCTTCAAGGTGACATAACTCTCCTCATACTTTCACCCGCTCTGTGAATGAACGCCGCGTCAGTGCTGGAGAAGTGACATTGATGGCTTTGATACGCTCAGCAGGTCTTTCAGGACACGCCCACCATTTGACGGCAAAGGCAAATATGTCACTATGACTCTCCCTATGGATTCAAAATCGATCCAAATGGGTTCCCACTACCCCCACCTGTCCCAGGTACCGCACTCACAATTATTTTTAGAAAAAGACGACCTGGAGATTAGAACGGGTGGTTAAAAATTGCCGTCGTAGTTGCGTACTTATACCAGGTGGCTGGTTCCCGCCGCGCACTTTCGTAGTTATACTGTACCGCATGCACGAGTGCGGGCGGGTTGCCTACTTGCACGGAGCCACACAAGGGGCCGTGCGCAGCGAGCATAGGCAAACCCGCACGCTCGAGTGCATGCAGTACAGTATAACTACGAAGGTGCGCGGCGTGAATCAGCCACCTGGTACTTGGTGCTTATAATTCATCAAACCGGGCCGAGCAAACAAGTTTTTTTTCGAACATTTTATTTTTAGTAGTGTACAATTCAGGGGAGCAAACCTACATTTACCACCTCGAGAGTACTTCCCTAACTGCAAGCACGGCACACCCGCGGGAACGGTCCAACCAAAACAAACAACCGGTGTGTCCCGGGCCCGAGCGTGGGAGGACGAGTGCAATCCCCGTCCGAACCGAAACCCGCCGTGTAACAAAGGAAACTGCACATCAGACCACATGAGATCACGCGGCCTGGAGGCTCGGCCGAGCTCGGCCGCGCCGGATACAACACAGCCGCACAACAGCGCATCGCAATTAAGACCCGATTTGCGTGCGCTTTTACCCGCCGGCAAGGAGAGGGGTGGGGGCATGGGGATTGTCCGACACATGTAACACCTTGTGCAACAACCGGTCAATACAGGGAGCGCTGCTGATTGCAGCCATATGTAGTGCGCTAGCTGGGTCATGCACGCCAAAGGATGCAAGCGAATCGATATGCAACATTTCAAAGCTACACAGTTTACTTGGCAGGTTTCTTCCATATTTTTTGCATCATTTTTTTTAAATGTTTGTTCTCGTAAGGGAAGCCCGCGCCGCCAAGGCAAGGCCAATAAGGCAAGGTCTCGCAGAGAGAAAACACCCCGGGCCAGGCAATGCCAGGCATGCATCCTGCTCCTCCACCCGCGCCGCGAGGAGCAGCCGCGTCCAGCCTAGTGAGAGTTTGAGTTTCACTTTGATTCCATGACCATGACGGAGTATTCAATGAGAATATGCGTGACTTGCTTAGCGAGCGTATATGCGCATAAAATCGCCGCCGCCGACTGGCATCCGTCGATCGCGTGGCGCTATGGGCGCGGTGG